TCCAAGGCCCCTCTCTTCTGTCGGCACCTCTATTCTGGAGGACCCACGGGCTGGGAAAACATCTACCCTGGTTACTGCAGCTGTTCCTCGGGGCTCCCCATGGCCCCTCCCCTCCTCCGCCCCCCCCTGTCCTGGCAGGTGCAGCCTGCCCGGCTCAGAGCTGCCGTGCTGGGGTGGGGTGGGGGTGGCTGTATTCCTTGTCCTTTGGCTGCGGGCCTGGTCACAGGTGGGGAGGAGGTCCAGCCGTCCTCCTCCCGGGCCGGGCACCTCTCTGCCGTATCTGACCAGCCTTCTGCAGCCTTGCCTGTGCCACCCGGGTCTTCTAGCTCCCGGGTGGTGTTTATTCACCAGCACCCACCCCCGGACTCTGCAAAGCCCTGCACGACTGTCACAAGCTGCCCTGAACCCCCTTGTGTCCTCCTGCCCCCTGGCCTTGGCCTCTGTTCCCGTGGCTGTGGATGCCATCGCTCACTCTTAGGGCTGAGCCAGGGCCTGACCATGACGGGCTCTCCACGGGCAGTGGCTTCCTCCCTCCTCCCAGGCCGAGGGCCCCTGAACGCCTGGGCCTCCCCCTGTCCTGCCACACGGATGCTTGGGGCCCAGGGTTGGCCAGGGAGCCAGGGCTGCAGTCCCCCTTCCACGTCTGCCTCCGAAGGCTGGGGCCCGGGACGGGGGTCCTACCGTCTCGGAACCACTGAATGTTCTGCTCTGCGTCTAATACGTCTTCTGAAAATGAGCAGGTCAGGGAGAAGGGTTCCTTCTCGCGGGCGAAGACCGGTCTCAGCACCGAGGTGAAGTCCACGTTGGGGCCGAACATCAGTCCTGGGTGGGGCCAGACATTGAGGACAGAAGTCTCCTGAGGCCGCCAGCCTGGCCTGGGGCTTGGGTGGGAGCAAGGACCCTTCTGGGGTGTCCCCACTCTCTAGTCACAGTTCTTGAGGTGCTTTAAACGAGGAGGGGGGCCTGGTCCTGGGCTGGGGGAGAGATGATCTGGGTGGGACCAGATGAGCCGAAAGAGCAACTGCCCAAAGGTCACGTCCATTTGTCTTTTTGCCTTTGCCCTGTTCACTCCGTTTTGGCCACTGGGCAACTCAGCAGCTGCCTTGGGACCCCCAGAAACCAGCCTGCAAATGTTAACAGCTCAGAGGCAAACCCATGGGGACATTCCTTAGTGGGCAATGGACGGCTGTATTCTAAAAGGGGGCTGTGGGCGGCCTGACGAGAAGTCCCAGCCCCGCTCCCCCCGAAGGCTCAGCCCTCCCCCAGCCTCCTTACTTTTAAAGATCTCCGAGTCGAAGCCGGCATCCTTCCCCAGGTAAGCTGAAAAGCAGAGCACGCGGAGTCTGAGGCGGTTCAGACCCACGTTCCTGCTAGATTGTGGCAGCATGGCCTTGGTGTGGGTTTGAGTCCTGTTTGACAGAGGGGCTCCCCCTTGGGCTCTGGGAAAGCTCCTTCACCCCTCTGTGCCTCAGTTTCTACCTCGGTAAAATGGGGACTGCGATTCCTACCCGGTGGTGGTGGGGTCTGAACAAGTGAATTCACGTGAACAAAGCCTCAGCCAGAGGTGCTCAATAAAGGGTTTCCTGCCCAGCTGGCTGGCTCAGTGGTTGAGCGTCCACTTATGAACTGGGAGCTCACGGTTCAATTCCTGGTCAGGGCACATGCCCGGGTTGCGGGCTCCATCCCCAGTAGGGGGAGTGCAGGAGGCAACGTCAATGATTCTCTCTCTCTCCCTCTCTGAAATCCATAAAAATTTTTAAATAAGTAAATAAATAAATGGCTTCCTTCTCTTGCCCGACTCACAGCCAGGATCACATAGTCTTCATAGAGGTAGAGCCTGGTCAGACCAGGGTTTCGGGGTGGGGTGGGGGTGGGGTTAGGGGATGGGCAGTGCTAAGGGAGCCATCAGGGGGCGTAAGGGTGAAATCCAAAGAGATATTGGCACAGACACCAGAGAATAGTAAGAACGCTTCTGATCACATAGTAAGTACCACGTGCCACATATTAACTTAATTCCACAATAGGCCTGCGGGTTGGTGCCCTTATAACCCTCCCAGACAGATGAGCAAACTGAGGTATAATCGCCCAACCAGCCGGAAGCTGTCATGTGGCATTGGTCCCTGGAAAGAGGCCAGGACCTGCTGCCCGAGGTCACACAGAGTCAGTGGAAGACTCGGGACCAGAACCCAGAGCGCCTGCCTCCCAGCCCCAGGCCTCCCGCGAGGACCCCTACAGATGCTACGGAGGTGAGAGCAGGGGAGGGTGGGGTGGCAGGCAGTGGGTGGTCTCAGTGAGAACCTGGCTGGAGTCTGGGGGCCAAGAAGAAGCCTGGTGGATCCGAAGTTGCTGGCCTTGATGGAGAGGGGAGCGGGGTCTGGAGGAAGTGAGGGGGAGGATGGGCGGGCAGAGGGGGCAGGGCCTGAAGCCTGACCTTGGGCTTGATTCTGGGCCCAGCCAAATGGGGCAGTGGGAGTCAGGAGGGAGTTGGTAGGGTTTGGCCTTTGCCTCTGAGGACCCCTCAGCAGGGCAGGTGGGGCCAGGTCACCCTCAGAGGCCCTGAGCTGGACCTGGACTCAAGCCCAGCCTGACAGGACAAGCGCTCTTCGGAGACGGCTGTATAGGTTGTGCAGGCTGAGGGCAGGGACTCTCACTTGCTCCAAAGAACCCAGGGAAGCAAGCATCTCCTTGGCTGCCCTGGTCACCGGATCCCAGGCCGAATACCCCTGCGCCAGGGCCCTTCCTGGAGTCTGACCGCAGACTCAGGTCCTCATCTGCTCATCCTGGGTTTGCTGTGGGCCGGCCTGGCCTGTGGGGGCGGGAGGACTTACTGCGGACCAGGACTTTGGCGAAGGAGGAGGCCTGGCCGTAGGCGTTCTTCACCTTCACCGTGTAGGTGCCCGTGTCCTCCATGGTGCACCTGAGGAGGAGGGAGGGAGAAGTGCCCCCCAAGACTGCTGGGCTCCCTGGGAAGCTCAAGTCCCCAGCTGCGGTGGGAAAGGTGGGGCTTAACAGGGAGGCCTGGGGCTGGGGAGACTTCAGGCTCTGGCTCAGGCTCCACCTCTGAAACGCCGTGTGCCTGTGGGCTGGCCACTGCCCCCTCCATGCCGTGTCCACCTCTGGGAACTGGGGAGCTGACAGCACCTAACCCCTCTCAGGTGACAGTGCTCTGAAGCTATGATTGTTATTGCTGACTCAGCAGGAATAGAGAGGTTAGGTGCCGAGCCCAGAGTCACACAGCAACTGGAATTCAACCAGCTTTAGGGCGGAAAGCCCTCTCCCAGGCATGACCTCCCCCATCAACACCTGCAGATCAGAGGCCTGGAGCAGGCTCCGGGCACGGGCTTGCCGAGACACGCTGCCAGTCCGAGGCAGAACTGGGCCCGATGCCCAGGTGTTCTCAATCTCAGGCCCAGGTCTCCCCACCACCCAGGCCAACCCTGTCATGTTCGCAGTGGAGGCCTGGGCCAGCTCCATCCCAGAGGCACCTAGTGACAGAGTAGTTGGCAGGATGGGGCCCATCTGGCACCCATCAGCCAGCAGAGAGGCCCCTAGGTGTCCCCTCTCTCCCCCTGGCTGCTCAGGGCAGGGATCCTTGTTTCACGCTGCCAGTCCCACCTGCCTCTACAAGCACCCCCCACCCCCACTCCCAGGCCTGCATGCCTTCCCTGGCTTCGCAGCCCAGGGACACCTCCCTCTGTAGCATCGTACGGCCAGGTGTTGATCCGTGTGCCCCTCCATTGCTTCGGAGGGTAGGATCAGTGTCCCGCTCACACCCGTGTCTCTGAAGCCCCAGCTGGTTGAAGTAGAGGGTTTGGTGTATGGGGAGGAACCCAGATGGAGGGACTGGCTCAAACCCCGGGCCTGCCCTGTGAAAGCTGTGCAGGACCCTGACCTCTCGCAGCCTCTGTCTCCTCACCTGCCACAGGCTTCCCTGCAAGAACAGTGGTGGGCGCTGTCCCCTGACTGTGCAGCACCGAGCACAGGGCTTGGCGCTGGGAGGAATCAACACATGGCAGCCCACAAGTAATGCACACTTGGGGACTGCTTGCGTGCCTTCCCCCACACACGTGGCCTCTTCCTGCAAAACCTTGCTTTAGACTCACCATCTCCCGAAAGGCCTAACTCTCCCTTCAAACTGCTTCCCCTGGCACTTGTATGTGTGAGTGCATGCAGGTGTGTGTGTGTGTGTGTGTGTGTGTGTGTAAGGATTTGTGGTTTCTCTCCCCCAGCAAGGAGCTCTCCCAACTTGCCTCGCTCAGCGTTCAGTCCTTGCTACTAGCCTCTGGCCCACGTTTCTCGTTGTGTATTCCAAGGCATTTGAACCCCATGGGGTGCGTGTTACATACTGATTCCTGGGCCCCCCTCCACACCTACTTCATGTGAATCTCTGGGGGTGAGAGGAGGGTCCTTCCATGAAATGGTGTTTTAACAAGCACCCCAGACTCTTCTGAAGATGCTGCGCGCTCAGGAAACAGCTCCGAGGAAGGGTTGGGCATCCTGCTTCAGGGGTGTGGGGGCCTGGGGCTCATGGCTCTGTCTCACCTCCTAATCTCCAGGGTCAGCAGCCCGTAGTTGTTGGTGATTCGGTACTTCCCAGGCGGGAAGAGGCGGGGATCGATTTGCATGTCATTTTTGTACCTGTGGAGACAGTACATCGAGCTGTGGCGGGCAGTGTGGTTTCGAGCGAGCGGGAAGGATTTGGAGTCTCTCGGACCTGGGTTCCAACCTCAACGTTGTGCTGCTTACTCGCTTGTGTGATCCTGGGCAGCACTTTCACTGATCTGAACCTCGGTTGTTCTCATCTGAGAAATGGGTGTAAGCAAGGCAACCAACCTTGAAGGGTTGTTACACCGATTAAATGGGATAAGATGTGGAAAGCTTTTCTCCAGCGCCCTGAACATTATAGATGCTCTCGAGTTCATTCCTCTACTGGAGGGCAGAGAAGAGGGGGCCTGTAACTAGGGATAGCTGCTCCTCCCCATATCGGGGTACCTCCAGGGAATAGGACCTAGATTTTCTCTCCTCTGAGGCGGGTGGCCAAGGAAGGAACCCCCATCCCTCCCTCCCTCCCTGTCGACCCCTCAGAACAGCGGCTCTTTATCTTGACTCTTGAAACACTAGAGGCAACTTTAAAAATCTCCATGCCCAGATTTGAAACATAAGAATTTGGGAATTTGCATCAGAAACTACTAATTATTCTCCTATAGACATTCTCCTCTTATTCTAAAGGGACAGAAACGATCCCTGAGCCTCTAACTATATAGCATCTTTCCTAGCCTCTTTTTCTGGTAGGTGTAGCCATGTGACTGAGTCTTGTCAACAGAAAGGAAAACAGGTGTCATGTGGCTGCTCCCGCCCCTTTCGGCGTCATCTCCCTTCCACCCCGAGGCAGACTGTGGCCGGGATGACGGCTGTCTCGCAGAGGGAAGACCAGGCCTGATCCCTGAGTAACCCGGGAGCCGAGTTGCCACGGCAGCCCCACCCTGTCTACATCAGACACTTTATGAAAGAAAAATAAACTATCTTATTTAAACCATTAAAAAACTCTCCATGCCCAGGCTGCATCCCAGAATTAAAATCAGAATTTCTGGAGGTGGGACCTGGGCATCGGTGTGCTTGAAACACTCAGGTGATTCCCAAGGGTGGCCCAGCGGGTCCCCTCTGCCTCTGGATGCCGCTGCTTGTCTCCTGTGCACACTGGGTCCTGCTCTCCCGTCCGAGGTGATGTTCTTGCCTCTGTCCATAGGCCATTGCGGGAGGTCTGGAGCCTGAGTCGGGGCTGGTAGATGAAAGTCTGTGAAGGTTGCGAGGCCTTGACACATTGCTGTGTGACCTCGGGCAAGTCAGTCCCCCTCTCTGGGCCTCTCTGCGTTGCATGGACATTCTGCCCCAGTGGTGGTTGCAGTTGACAGCAGGCCTCAGCCGAGAGAGGGCACCCTGGCCTCAGTGCGTTGCCTTCCTTGGACCTGGCTCTCCCACGCCTTGCCCTGTTTGTCTCCATGGCAACCAAACAGTGCCCTGCCCACGCTCTCCCACATAAACCTCAGGCTACACCCACTTCTGAAAGGAACCCAACTAGGTCTTCTGTGGGGAGGTGGTGCCTCATCTTCATGCCCAGTCTCTCCACCTCTCCCAGGCTTGGGGGCCAAGGTCAGCCCCTCCCCTCCCCCCCATCGGAACATTCCAGACACCTCGGCCTGGCCAGCTCTGGGAATGACCTGGACGGCCAGGGACCTCGGTGCTCATCTCGCCCTCCCTCTGGGCTTCTCCTGCCTGCACAGTGGGCCCTCGTTGGCATGGGCTGTGCTGATGATCCCAAGTGGCCGCCAATCACAAAACAGCATCAAATGAGACAGTGAGGGCAGGCGCCCAGCCCAGAGCCTGGCTTAGAGATGGCCACATAAAAGAGTTATCGAAGTTTATATTTTTCTTTACATATTTTCATTTCTAAGGCTGCTCGGCCTAGGAGATTGATTCTGGAATCAGGTAGAATCATGTCCAGGGCCCGCTTCTGCAGCATTAACATGGCTGGACGGGGCCTTGCCTACCCTGCCCTGTTGTTGCCCCTGCATTCAGGAAGCGCTCAATAACTGCTGAATGAAGGACTCTCCTGACAAGCCTGGTGGGCCAGGATCTTCCTCCCGGCCTGGGGGCTGGGTCTCTCCTGGGGCCTGGACAGAGCTCTGGAGGCCAGTCCCAGGATGACGTGTGGCCCTGTGGGAGGTGATTGATGATGGAAACAGCCCCTGAAGCCAGGAGCACAGAGCACCTGAGTCCCTGCAGCGGGAGGTGGGCCTGGCCTGGCTCCCACCCCTTACAAACAAGGAATGCTGTTGTGGCAACGTCGCCCTGCTGTGGCAACAGTGCTGGCAGGGGTAGAAACGAGCCCCTTGTCGAGAGGCTCCCAGAGAATGTCTTCGAGGTGGGCCTCAGTGCCAGGGCGGGCAGGGCAGGGCTGGCTGCCGGGCCAGGACAGCTGAGGCCTGACCCCCACTTGGCCCAGCCCAGCTGTCGGACGCAGTCCTCCTATGGGACCAGAAACTTGCAGGCAGGCACTGCTTTGGACCCCACAGCATTCCAGTGCCCTGCATGGTGCCTGGCACACTTGTTTGAATGAATGCCACCTGGCAATGGCCTGCCCCAGTGTCAACACCCTCAAGATGCCTTTCTTGAGTGCTCCTGGCCTAAGTGCTCTCTATTTCTCTGACTTCTAAAGCACTATGTGTGCTTTAAAGAAAAAGAAAAAAAAAGAACTATAATTATGACGTTCCTACTCTCTCGGCCGTGGAAAGAGCTATGGGCTGGAAGGCAAAAGACCTGAAGTTGAATCCTAGGACACACGGCCTCTCTGAGCCTTGATATCTTCATCTAGGAAATGGGGACAATAGTCCCTCCCTCATGGGTGGCCTCGAGGCTCAAATGAGAGAAAAGTGCTGAGTCAATGTAAAGCGGGTTCAAGTATTAGATGTTGCTTTTTCTTTGGTGACCTCGTTTTTTGTGTGCTTATCTTCTCTCTCCTACTAGACCGTGGTCTGTTCACCCTCTAGATCTGGCTTATATGGCACCTCCTCCGAGAAGCCTTCCTGGATCCTCCAGGTGGAGGTAGCCACTTCCTCCTCCACCTTCATGCTTTTAGCTCAAATGTCACTCATGAATTCATTTCTCTGTGTGTCGACTTTTCTCTTCTGGGCTGAGAGTTCCCCCAGTTGAGGCTGAGGCTGTGTCTGAGTCATTTCTATACCACGGTGCCCGAGTCAGGGCCTGGGACAGAGTATACTTCTTGTACATACAGTGGGGCCTTGACTTACGAGTTTAATTCGTTCTGAGACCGAGCTCGTTAAGGAGCTCGTTAACTCAAATTACTCTATCAACTCAATGCAAAAAATCGGCTGAGAGACAGCTGGTATCTCAAAAAACTCGTTAGTTGGGACACTCGTAAGTCAAGGCCCCACTGTATTGGCTGAAAACCCTTACTCATCTTCCAGTGTGAGTGATAATGGGCCTTAGACTCAGGGGAACTCAGGAAGCAGTGGGCTCAGCTGTGTGAAGGACACGCCTCCTTCAGTCGTAGAACCGAGACCCCGAACATGGCCATGCCCACTCCCATCTCCACCAGCTTGTTCAGGAGACACCTGCCATCCCCCACGAATGACATCTCCTGCTTTTCGAGCACCTTTCAAGTTCTGAGAGCTTCCACATTGTTGTGGCATTAGATCCTCAGCACATGCAAGCTGGACAGGAGGTCTTCAACCCATTTTACAGAATAGGAAACTAAGGCAGGACTGGAGAGATTAAGAGATGTAGCTAAGATCACACAGTGAGTTAGTAGAGGGAGAGAGAGCTAGGCCTGGAGTGTAGGGTTCCCACTCCAGGCCTGAGCTCCTACTTGTAGGGCCCCTGCCCTCCCTGCCTCCTCCCCTGCCCCCTGCCCTGCCTCCTGCTACCATCCTCTAACCCTGGAGATCCCCAGCTGGGAGCAGCTGCCTTCTCATGCCACCAGAATCGTATTTTTACAAGTGCTGGCTCCCTGGTGGCTCAGTCTTCTAGCCCCAGGCTGGCTGGGAGGCAGCTAAGAATACCCCCTTCTGAGCCTCCCCAACAGCTGCTGCTCTGTTTCAGGGGGTGGGGGGGTGGGCAGGGCTCAGGGTCTGTGGGGCTGCAGCTTTTCTAAGGCAGCAGGAACTGCTGCGGGAGGGACTGGGCTCCTGGAGGATGTTGGGAGTAAGGAACTCACACTCACGTAACCATAGAGATGAGGCGAGGGCCCTTCTCTCCAGCCCCAGTGTCTTACCAGGTGACCTGGGGTGCCGGCGAGGCCTGGATGGTGCAGGTCAGCAGGACCGTGGTGCGCTCCCAGACAGCGTGGGAGCGAAGTGGGATCCAGAACCAGGGCCCGCGGCCGGAACACAGCTCCCTCAGCTCTTTGGCCTCCCGAACCTTCTCCTCTGTCTGGAGGCAGGAGCAGGTCTGTGACCCCTCTGAGCCTGGGCACCGACTCCCCCCCATCTTCACGGCCACCTCTCCCCGACACCCGACACCCGGCTCTGGAGTCAGACCCACGGGAGCTGGAGCGTTCAGCAGCATCGGAGAGGCAGTGCGGCCCATGACCCGTGGACCCAGCGGGCCGGGGTCACGGCCAAACTCTGCCACTTCCTCGCTGTGAGACCGTAGGCAAGTCCTCAGGTTCCTCTTCTGCAAAATGGCTGATAATAACATTCCCCCGCCCTCCTGTGGGGCTGGAGTGAGGATCCAATGAGTTAATATGTGAAAACCATGGGCATTGCTCTCCTGCCCAGGGAGGGGGTAAGGAGCGTGACTTCAACCCCCGGCATTTGTCAGGAATAGATTTCCTGAGGGCCTGCTGAGTTCTGGGCCCTGGGAAAGTGACGTTAGAAGCTCAGTCTCATTTAATTCACATCTCAGCACGGGGCTGGTAACCACAGACATCTATTTTGCAGATGAGAAAGCCTCAGGAAGAATCAGTGGCTTGTCTAAGGTCACACAGCTGGGGATGGGGCACCAGGATTCAAACCCAGGTCCACGTCCAGGACCGGGGTTCTTTCCTGATGTCCAGCTGCTTCTTGAGAAGTGGGTAGAGAGCCCAGCCGGTGTGGCTCAATGGTTGAGCACCAACCTATGAACCAGGAGGTCACGGTTTGATTCCCGGTCAGGGCACATGCCTGGGTTTCGGGCTCGATCCCCAGTAGGGTGTGTGCAGGGTGTAGCTGATCAATGATTCTCTCTCACCATTGATATTTCTATCTCTCTCTCCCTCTCCCTTCCTCTCTGAAATCAATAAGATATGTTTTTTAAAAAGAGAGAGAAGGGGGTAGAGTGAGGTGGGTGGCATGTGATGGGTCCCAGGCCTCAGGCCCCTGGCCCATCCCCTCACCCGCCCATCCCCTCACCCGCCGTCTCAGCGCCTTCCGGTCGCGGCTCTGGCGCAGCAGCCACTGGGTCCGGAGGAAGGCGATGTCCGTCCTCTCCAGGTCATTGCCGAAGCCCACGCGCCTCTGCCCTCGCTCCTCCAGCTCCACGGTAGAGGTTTGGCGCCTCAGCTGGGCCTCCCTGTGGCGACAGAGGACTCAGTGGCTGAGGACCCAGCGTTGGGGAAGGGCAGTGCCATCCCCATGCCCAGCATTGCCACCTGTATTTTACGCTCCTCGAGGACAAGAGCAACTTTTAAACCTCTCTTGCCTCCAAAATACTGTGCATGGGTCCTGCTTACAGAAGGTGCATAATAGCTGCTCTCAATATGGTTTGCAAGGCCCTTTCACAAACCATTGTCCCTCCTGTTTTCACTGCAACTAAGTGGACAGGCATTAGTCTTGCCATTTTATTTTATTTATTTCTTTTTAATATATTTTATTGATTTCAGAGAGGAAGGGAGAGGGAGAGGGAAAGGGAGAAACATCAATGATGAGAGAGAATTATCGATCAGCTGCCTCCTGCAGGCCCCCTCCTGGGGACTGAGCCTCAACCCGGCAGCTGCTGCTCTGTTTGGGGGTGGGCATGCGCCTGGGCCGGGAATCGAACCACAACCTCCTGGCTCATAGGTCGACGCTCAACCACTGAGACACCCCGGCCGGGCAGGTCTCGCCATGCGACAGGACAGACACCGGTGGCTCAGGGACTTGCTTCGGGTCAGCCAGGACCAGGACCCAGGCCTCCCAGCCCAGGGCGCGGCCTCCTGATGTTCTCACACTCAGAGGCCTTTCCAGTCTTGGGACTCGTGTCTGAAACTTGGGGCTCCTTCACATGCTCCTCCTCCCCCATGTGCAGCCAGCTGGGGAAGGGTGGGCCCCCACCCTCTCTCTCGGGGATGATCCCTCACGACTGCCTGTGGACTCAGGGCAGCGAGGTGGGCTTTGTGGTCAGACAGTCCTGGCCTTTGACCTTGGTCTAGCTCAGTGATGGCGAACCTATGACACGCGTGTCAGAGGTGACACGCGAACTCATTTTTTGGGTTGATTTTTCTTTGTTAAATGGCATTTAAATATATAAAATAAATATCGAAAATATAAGTCTTTGTTTTACTATGGTTGCAAATATCAAAACATTTCTATATGTGACACGGCACCAGAGTTAAGTCAGGGTTTTTCAAAATGCTGACACGCCGAGCTCAAAAGGTTCGCCATCACTGGTCTAGCCCCTTTGGTCTAGATGTGTCACTCTGGGCAGCGTGAAGCGCAGAGTGGGAGCCCAGGAGGACGCGGGGCCTGGATGGATGGCCCCTTTGAGCCCAGGGCTCTCTGGAAAGGTCGCTTCACTCACCAAGACATCTCGTAGGAGGCTGTGAGGGCCAGGGCGGCTGCGAGGGCGTGGTCTGCGGCGCTGAACTGGTACTCCTCCTCACTGCCCGGGAAAGAGAGGCATGGCGGGGGTCTGGCCGGGGCTCCCGAGTTTAGGGCTGCAGCTACCGACCTCCGCCCCAGCGACCAGCAGGCGTGGCTGTGCCTTCCCCCTCAGACTGGGGTCTCAGGAAGCAGCGCCATGCCTCCCCCCTCAGGCTGGAGCCTCCAGAGCACAGGGCTGTGCCCCCCCTCAGACTAGGGACCCCAGGGGTAGGGCAGTGGCCGGGGCAGGGTCCCTGATGCTCCCACCTGCTGCGGAAAGGTCCGCCTCTGCACCGAGGAGCCCATGTGCAGGCTGTGCTGCCGCTGCTCCTTCTGCTCCTCCTCCTGGCGGCGCTCCACC